CAGTTGAAATTTTTCAATCATGCAGAAATACGGTTATAATAAAAATAATAACAAATGCATCTTTATATGTCAATAGATTGAAATTGTTTGCAATTTTTTTTGTAAATTCTTAATAGTTGGTATTTTTCAATCTTTACAGGAATCATAGCATTTTGACAGTTTTGGTATTATTCAATCATGCATAAATCATAAATTAATAATTAACATGTTCTTGAAATGTTCAAAATTTTTGATCTTATAATGAAAATGTTACACACTTTTGCTTACACCAATGTCATTTAATAAACAGAACATTACAGCTGTCACTTGARGATATGAATTTTMTCTTCAAGTTTTGAATTTATTTATCCCACGAGTTAGCACAATATTTCCATGCACCCATGTAATATCCTTTATTTAATCACACAGGAATGATAAATAATAATAAATACATTTTGGCAGTTGATATTTGTCAATCATACAGTGATCCAAAAAATGATTTATGGGTCATTTGAATTTGACAGTTTTGGTGGTTTTTCATTCATACAGGAAACATACGTAATAATAATTTAATCACACAGGAATGACACTAATTTTYGACATACAGTGATCATAAATGATAATACATTTTGACGATTTTGACAGTTTTGTAAACAAAGGAATCATAAGCTTAATGTTCATAATGATTATCCATTTTTCAACTTCTCAAATTCTTTGCTTATCTTTGCTCTCTGTATTTGTTGACAGTTTGTATWAAAGAGTTAAGTTTAYTGAAGAATAAAGAGTAAAAATCTKAACATTCAAATAATATCAAGGCTCTCTTTTCAAAATGCATAGTTTTATACTTAAAACATCCGAGTAGTTTTATGTCAAATAAGATTATTTATTGTGGATAGAATGTACACACAATTAACACATATTTTCATTGTCAACAAGCTCATTTAATTGAGAAGTTTTGAAGTGTATCAGGTAAAGATTTTCAAATTCAAAAGCAAATTTAAACCAGACTAAAACTGCCCAAGGTTCTTGAAGTAGAAGAATTGATATAATTGAGCACCAAAAACCGCTTGCACGTATAATCTAACATACCGCCATTTGTTTAATAACGCCACGGTATCGTCGGAGAATATGTCAGTTCTCCTATGAGAAATTCTCCCTCAATAATCGTTGTATTTGGCGTTCACTTGTTTCTCGATTTGCTTGAGTCTTTATT